ATATTTGCATGTCAAGTCATCATTAAATGGCCCCCATATTTCAAAAGGTGTTATTAAATCATGCTCTTTTCGAATACATCTTTAACTGATAACAGTAGTTCAGCCGAGATATTTGAATATCAAAATTACTTTTAGGACCCGTAAAATTTGTTATTGTTTTGATTTTGATGTCCTACCCTCCGCCGTTTCGCCAATCAGGAAGTGTCATGTAAGTCCGTGATCAGAGTTGCCAGAACTCCGCTCACTGATCTCAGAGGTAAAATAACATGTGGCGCAGAACTAAAAAAGGTCTCGTTATGACTCAAATCATTAATGACAAAACAAAGACTAAAACGAGGATTTATATCGGGACGCCTTTGAAAAATTGAGACAGCTGATAAAAGTTTACGTCGTGTGATGCAAAATTTGCTGATTTGAGTCCGTTCTTCAGGAGCAGTCTTTAGCGCGTGAATCGGTGGTCTGGTGGTTAAAACTATGCGCTCACGATGCTGTAACCCAGATTCGATTCTGGTCAGAGTCTTTTTGTATTTAATTACATGTTCTCACATTCTATGACAGATTGCTCTAAAAACGGTAAAAGACAAAAGTTAAGACGTTTTTTGCAGATTATAGCTTAATTGTAAAAAGAATCATTTAAGACCACATGTACCCAATTAAAATAATGTTAGTCTCTTTTTGATGTGGGACTTATACATGTTTGTCTAAAAAATAGGGAATAAATAAAATTGAAAGGTGATATCCTCTGAGCAAACCCTGTTGATACGCTGAAGAAATACGTTCCAACATCCATTCTTCCCACTCCTATTTTGGACATCAATTGCTTATTTATTTTGGATAATCTATAATTACATTGCTTTTATTTTGTTTTGTGTTTTATCTCAAATGTCCAAACAAAAAATAAACATTCATTCAACATTAGCACGCCTCATGGCAAACAATGGAGACAGACAAACAACTGATAAAATAATACCCTGTGATTGCTGCTGGATTTGGTGTGTATCTGGCAACCTGAGTCAGGGGGAGTGGGAGAGGACTACAAAATATTGATTGTGACTGCAGTACCACTTTTGGCCAGATTTTTACATATTGTTCCTTTAATGCTGCAAATATAACTTCAAGTAGAAAAAAATCCATGTTTCAAAGTCCAACGTTCTCTTTACGTTTCTCTTGTATTACTATAACAAAACCAAGCAGAACATGCCATTGTATCCCTTTTTTTTATCGTTATCAACCAAAATGATCACAAACTACTAAGAGGAAAAACTAACAGCCTTGAGTTTATGCGCTGGACAATTACCCCTGCTCATTCCACACTGGAGGGCATTTTGTGTTACGGCTAAACAAAGCTTCCCTCCTTCCCAGCGCGCCACTTAACTCACCCCAGCCTCTTAATTATAATTAGAGGCTGTAGTAATTGTCCGTGCTGCTGAATGGCAGGTGGCGAGATTGTACCTGCGAGCGTAAACTACAGCCTACATCCGCACGTCCGTCTCATTGCGAGCGCAGACAATCGTGGGACAGCATCGGCGTGTGCGGGGGGAAGCCAATCTGACAGGCCTGACCGCGGATAATCTGTGAGGGACACTGTTGAGGAGAGCCTGTGAAATTGAGCTTCACAAGGCGGCCCAAGTGTTTATTGTGACTGATGTTGAGAGGGAAACAAAAAGAAAAAAACAAAAAACATGACGCCCTTAAGTAGTATAGGAAAAGCAAAGAAGACTGTAGTTGGGTTTTTACAATGCGCAGACGTGTACATACAAAGAACAAAGCGCAAATATCAAAGAGGCTGATCCCACTCAACCCGGAGCACATAGTGTCTAAGCTGAGCGCTAAAGATAAAAAAGAAATCAATGAGCTGCTCAAACAGAATGCTTCAGGCAGAAATGTGGACGAGAGATGTTGGTAATTAGACCTACAGTTGAAAATATGCCCGCAACAAATGATTATTCTGTTGAGTTAGCAAGGTGTATGAATGGTGAATGACTATTGGCTATATGAGAGCGCTTTACATGGATTACACACAAAAAAGCGCTGGTGAGGAAATTTAAAATTTATTGTGAGAATGTGCGGCACAAACCAACAAAAAGTTACATGTTATATTTTGCGGACTGTGAGCCACTATTGGACTCTTTAAGGTTGATAGATGATTGGTTGATTGAGAGTGATTTTTTTGCGTTTGTGTTGGAAAAAGATGATCCAAAGATGTGACAGAGGCCCGAAAGACAGTGGTTTGTGGTTTGAAAGTTGGGTACCTCAGCTTAAAGTACAGCTTCAACTGTATTGTGAGACCCAACCTGTACGACCCACAGCCGACTGTGCTGTAGCCTGACAGCAAGAAGATCCAGGGTTTTTCTGTTTTAAGAGCAAAAACTCATGGATCTCATTATGTAGTTCAATTGTTGTCCTTCAAAAGTTAGGAATCCAAGCTTTAAAAATTACAAAGCAGTTGCAATCTGTATTACATATTCGGTAGAGCAATTGACTATGCTTTTACTTGTGTAATTATATCAATATTTCTAAAGCACTTTGAATTGCCTGCCTAAGAGTTGTGATATACAAATAACCTTGCCATGTTTCTTGACCTTGGTGTGATGTGATGAATTCTTACGTCATACAATAATGTCCAAAGCTGTTTTCAACCTTTTTAAAACATGTGTGCTGTCTCTACATTTGTTTTGGTCATTTCTCAAATGAAATTATGGTAACAGTGCGGGGGTAATTGTATGTTAAAAAATACCTAGTACTGGTGCTAGAACTGGGGTGTTACATGCTGAGATAACGTTATCCTTGATTCATGTTTAAATAAGCGTGTGTTTTTATTTATATAGCACCTTTCACATGCTGAGACACAAATCAGAATCAGAATCATTTTTATTGCCAGGTAAGTAACAGGAGGTCACAGACTAGGAAATTGCTTTGGCTCAGTGCAACAGTCAAAAAGAGATAATAAAAATAAGAATAAAAAAACACTTCTAAAGAATAAATTTAAATTTAAAATAGAGTTACAGTTACTATTTACAATATACAAGTGCACATGGTGCACACAATGTAAGGTGACAGCAGTACAGTGAAGTAAAGTGACGTATGATGGGCAGTAAAGTGACTTTATAAAGGGCGGGGGGACAGGTTAAGAAGTGTTCAAGAGTCCAACAGCAGAGGGGAAGAAACTGTTCTTGTGGCGGGAGGTTCTAGTCCTGATGGACCGCAGCCTCCTGCCTGAGGGGAGTGGTTGGAATAGTCCATGTGCAGGGTGAGAGGGGTCGGCTGTGATACGACCAGCCGGGCCTCGAGCTTGGGCGACGTATAGGTCCTGCAGAGATGGAAGGCTGCGGCCGATCACTTCCTCTGCAGAGCGCACAATGCGCTGTAGTCTCTGTTTGTCCCTGACTGTGGCTCCAGTAAACCACACGGTGACGGAGGAGGTGAGGATGGACTCGATGATGGCCGTGTAGAACTGCACCAACATCTGTGCAGGCAGCTTGGCTTTCCTGAGCTGCCGCAGGAAGTAAATCCTCTGCTGGGCCTTCTTGATGAGGGAGCTGAAGCAAAGTGCTTCAAAGTCCATATGTTCTATTTAAGAACATATTTCACATTCTAAAACAGCATAATTGCCTAGTCCTTTAAAAAAAAAGGGAAATGTTGCCTTTATCTCCTCCCATGGCTTCATTTTGGGTTTTGTCTGGCACAGTTATTCTGTGCATGGCATGGTATTGAGTGACTTGATAGATCCATCAACAAAATAAAGAGGAGGTCGTCCAATTCAGGTTTGGGACTAAGCAATGTCACCATTTTGGAGACTCAATATTGTCTCTACAACAAACACTAATTTAGTTTCGAATGTAACAATCCCTGGCTCCCACTGTGTGTGCGGAGGTTCAGCTTTGACCAGCTGCGCACATAAAAGATATGTAGAGGAACAAGATCCTGGAGCTCGCCTGGTCTGCAGCGCTTTGTTCTCATATTCAAAGGGCAAGCTTCCCTTTTCTCAGGATCAAAATCCACAAACAAATAACACTCGCAAAATGAGGTGCACGCAGAGAAGAGGGTAGACAATTCTCTGAAAAGTTTCTCTTCGTGGAGCTCAGATAAATATGGCTTTGATACTGTTTGTTGCTGATGTTGCTTTACAAAACTGTTTAAGGGCAGGAGTCAACATGCTTGCAAGCAACATTAATACTTTCATCAGGTGTTTTTTGAGTTACCCAAACCTTCATTCATCAGAGTCCTATTTCTGCATGCAGTGTTGGTAAACTCGGAGTAGTAGGGTAAGATGAGTTTAACAAACAGAGAAATCCATACTGGGTAACTTCGGGTTAACCCATTGAAGTTATAGCGGGCTCAGATGATTAGGCGTCATGATCGTGCGTCATCACATAAAAACAACCAATCACAATCATGGATAAAATATGTTGCCAGTAGAAACAAACAATAATGGGAAACAAATAATAATGGAAAAATATTAATGTATTGCAAAGTACAGCACTATTGCAGCAGGCAAAGGGCTTGCAGGAAGGTGACAGAAGATCACAGACTGTGTGAATACATAAAGTGCATCCATGTCCGTTAAACACATATGATTTATGACCAACTCAGGTGCAAAAAAGTGCAAAAAGAACATGAAAACAAATATTAATGAAGTCCAAAAGTTCCCTGCAGTAATGGAGATGCTGCTGATGAGGTGTGTGTGGAATTTAGTGTCGTGTCTGTCAGTAGTTGACAGACACGCAACTGGACTTAAATTCTGTTCAACCACCGAAAACTCGGGGTTCTCTCAAAGTAAACCTCAACTTACACCAAACAAAAACCAAACCGGCTTCAGCACCACATTGGTCAAAGCCAATGGGAACAAAATTTGTATTTTTCCTAAAACATTCAACCATAGGCTCTCAAACTTTTTAAATGAAGTTACTTAGTTCTACTTCAAAGATATGCCAAGGAATTGCAGTGTTTGCACTTTAGTTGTGCTTAGTCGGCTGTACTTATTTCCATGCCAGACGTACCTCACAGGTGCACCTCTGCTCTGGGCCGGCTTCAGCAGCACAGTAACCGTAGTGTCTGTCTGGTTCAGAGAGGTCTCCTGGTCATAGGCCGGCATGGAGGGAGCTGTAAGACAAATACGGGCGAATGAAGAAGTACTTTTGAGGGAGGTAAAGGTATATAATACAGAATAGAACATGGTATCTAAATGTACTCTAATTACACACACTATTGACATAAATATGCTTGGATATTTTTGTACAGAATTTCCATTGTATTTATGAGTGGCCTCACTTTTGACCGGACACCATATCTAGCACACACGGATGTTGGTGTTGGTGGGGACTCTCGTAGGTCTTAGAGAACATAAAGTGGTTAAAAAGAAGAATAAGAAGGTCCTTTATTCGTCCCACAATGGGGAAATTTCAGTTTGATGCATAATTAAAATGTAATAGGCAAGCAGCGAACATCACTTCCGTGCTCCTTATAGGCAAAGTGGGTTAAAGACCTTTTGCCGGGTTTTTTAAAAAAAATTGTGGATCTCAAAATTGCATGACAATGTCGATTTGAAATAGATTCCGGCAAAAAAAATCCTATATTTTATAAAAAGAACATGTTTTTCATGAATTTAAGTTGTCTATGCTCTACCCTGTGTGTGACGTCATAGCGGGTAACGCCCACGCATTGAAAACCATGGATCTATGCCACAGGACGGCCTTTTCTCTCTTCTCTCCACTGATGCCCAACACAATACTGCACTCTACACATAAATTGCCGTTTTGAGAGTGAAAATGTGTCTCAGGTGGGATTTTAACCCCAGTATCTGGATTGGCAGTCCATCAACACAACCACTGGACTTTCTCAATGACAACAAAAAGTCACAGTCTAGTAGTAATCTCAAACTCGCTGTACACGGCCTTGTCCTCTTGAATATCCGCGAAAAAAGAACGAATACCAAATTGTAAACAACTTACAGCGTTAAAACGTACCCGTTCTGACGTCACCAAGGGCTGTGAAGTTTTTTCGTCTCTAAGGGCGTTGCTATGGGGTTATTTCGATTTGGGGGGATCAGACAAAAAAAACAACAACTGATTTTGAAACCTTTAGTATTTCTCTTCTAATATAAAATGGTATTAAAACTGTATTTCTAAATAAATCAAACTCGGCATAAGGTCTTTAAGTACCCAAGGACACAACGACAGCAGACATCAGTGGGAGTCAGTGGAGAAGGTCTCGAGGTGGGCTCGAGCACACGACCTTTGGGCTCAAAGGCCAATGCTCTGCCAACTGAGCCACTGTTGCCCGAATGTAAATGAATGTACAAAGATATTTCATTGAGGTAAGCGAGTCAGTCAGCGCACAACAATCCAATCTATGTCAGGAAAACGTTCTTAAAACCTGCAATCTAAAGGTTTAGAATTTTTCCGGAAGTTCTGCCTCTTTAGAAAAAGGGCATGGCCACAAGACAACTCTGGTAATATTTCAGTTCTCTACCATTTTCCTCCAAATCGTTTTACATTATTGCTGCTCTTATGTGCACATGTGCATATGTGGAACATGTGGGGGAGTACAATGATCTATAGCGGTATTATTGGCGTACTCATCATACTTTTGGTACAAGTTGGAACAGACATCTTCCTAAATTCTCAACAGCCATCTGCTACTAACACTGTTTGGTGTATAACTTTATATGTGAATTTTAGAAGCACGTAAATGAAAGTTTTGGTTAAATAGATGTCATGCGTTATTGGCGTTTTGACTGGCCCTTGGTGCACATTGACAACCATGTGTCTTTGCACAAATATGACCAAATTCATGTTGACTTATGATTTAATTGTAGTGTTCTTTAAATAACAAAGACCTACACTCACAAAAGTATGAAACCACATTGGAAAGAATCTCCCCCTTCCCACACCAGAGTTTAGTGACACTTGTCTCACTTTTATCTTATGAGGCCCTTCTGCCTTCAGAGTCATGTCTCACCACTGAAGAGATTGCAATGATAGTGAAACAATTGCTTCTGCCACTAGTACCTTCACAGAACTAAACTTCAAAGTGGATCAAATGCATGAGCAACACAAGAAAAATGTTAGCTTTTGTTGGAGTCATGATTTATAGAAGCTTATCTCCAGACACAAGTCAACGCTATACATCAAAATAACATTTCAACACAGATAACGATTGTGTCTTATTGAGCGTGTTGTGATTCATAAACTAAATTTCAGAAAAACAAATGAGGTACCAGCAAATAAAACAAAGAGACAAGAAAACACAAAACAATGGCACAAATGTCAACCACTCACATACTTTATACATCTCAATATATTCTAGTCAAAATTATTTCTGACATATTGCATAAGGCATATTAGATATTGCAAAATAAATAATTTTTAGTTTTTGAAACCAGCATGAAACATTATCCCCTCTTCCCATGCACCATCCATGTTAAAGCTGGGATCAAATAACACACGTTTATCCCAACGGAAAGAGTCCTGTAGAAGTACAATATTTTCAACAATAAGACCATAACAGGCTGTCTCACTACAGAGGACCTCCCTCAATTAGCCAATCCGCTCTCAGACCAAAGCGTCTTTCATTTAATTTGTCATTGATTCCACATTTACAAAAATCTTTCTGTTGTGACAAACAAAATATATGACCCAGCTTTAAAGCAAAGGTCACTTACTTTTCAACTTGGGAAGATGAAGAGATGTTCTTCGAATGAAATTGAAAGTGAAGTTTCAGCCCCCACCGGCTCCTGATTGAATGGAGTTCTTTCAAATGCTTGATAGCTTTGACAGCTGGTCTAACTATCCTCCACTACTATATCTTACTGTTAGTAAATATTAAGTTTTTATTTGCAAAAACAGTTATATTGTTTTATTAAAAAAATAGAAAACATTCCTCTAGTTACAATCTTCAACATGTTTTTTTATCTGCAGTAAAGTTAGCAGTAAACCTGCAGGTGGCACTAAAATATATCCGGCTTTTCAAAAATCTAGGGAAACAAAAAGTTGTATACCCTTCAAATAATTTTTACAATGGCACTTATCAGTTTGTGTAAAGAAACTATAGGGCACTGTCCGGTTTCCGAAATGTGCTAAAAATAGCTCAGATGACTGCGCATGCGCGCATGTTTCGGACAGACATTGGGCCTCATTCACGAACGGTTCTTAGGAACAGATTTGTACGTAAATCCTACTTACGCGGTTTTTACGAAGAAAGTGGCATTCACGAATATTTCTCGTAACCAGAACTTCTCTTGGGCAAGTACAAATCCTACGAGTCCTCAGGAGCACTCGTACGCATTCAGTGCCGACATGTTCACACTCCGGGGTTGTCCTCTTTGGTGAAGTTGAATAAAAATACAACATTCCAGTGATATGTCCGTCATATCGATGTATGTATTTATTTATTTGTAGTAATCTTTATTAGTAATCTTTATTTATATACCGCCTTTTTCACTGCAGATCTGGCCTACTTTTTAATTCATTTTGAAATGAAATGTGCCAACGCTTTATCAAATACATTGGAAATCTTGCCGTGTATTAGTGACCCCTTCCTATTTATAGGGGGCATTTCTTTATCCATGGGCCACAGAACATCGGCATATATACTGCTGCTGCAGGAGGTTACTGGGTCCGCGCTGAGTCTCTGCGCTGGTCTCTCCCATGGATCTATACTGGTCTGCACTGGTCTCTCCCATATACGGCTCTGCACTGGTCTCTCTCCATACGGGTCCGTGCTGCATGCTCTCCATACGGGTCCGCGCTGGTCTCTCAAGTCTGGTCTATGCGGTCTATCTTCGGTCCGCGCTGGTCTCTGCGCACCGGTCTCTCCAGTCAGGTCACTCCAGTCTATGCGGTCTCTCCTATAGGTCCGCGCTGGTTTCTGTGTGCTGGTCACTCCAGTCTCTCCTCGGGTCTGCATTGGTCTCAGCGCTGGTCCGCGCTGGATCTCCTCCCAGGGTCCAAAATATTTTGAGATTAATCTCAAAACATTTTGAGATTCATCTTTAAAATAATACATAATATATTTTTAAATTAAGCTCATAACATTTTGAGATTAATCTCATCATATTCTTAGATTAATCTCATAATTTTGCTAGTTCGACTTTATTATCATAATATTTCGACTTTTAAGTCAACATTTTATAACTTTATTCTCAGTCTGGTAAAAGAAGTGTAACTCGTTGCTTTAGGCCTGTTGCTGTTTCCTCTGCCGTCTGCACACGGCCCTGCAGTCCCTTATATGGGCATTAGTGGGCGGTTACTTATGCTAAGTACCTATGCTAATGAAGCACCTGGCACGCGCGCTGTACTTACGAGGAAATGGGATTCATCAATCTGAGAGAACAGCTGCGAACAATTCAGCGGCTTACGAGTGCGTTGATGAATCCCACGTGGGGACTTCTTAGAAATCTACTTAAGGACAACTTGAGAAGAAAGTTGAGTAGTTTCTTACGAAGTTATTTGTGAATGAGGCCCATTGTGTACGACTCGTTTGAATACTACTACTCCACATACGCGTGTGTATTTACTTGGGCTAAATCATTGAATCATGGTGATAACAAACCACTGCAGTTATGGTACTTGTCGGAGCGATTTCAGATACTCTGAAAAGGACTATATGAAAGCAGTAACATTCAACCCGTTCGTTAAACCACACCATCGGACCAGACCAGGACCAGACCAGGACCAGATCAGACCAGGACCAGACCAGAACAAGTGCAAGAGGTGGGTGCTTGTGGTCGGCAGAATTTCTCTCATGAAAATGTTAAAAAGGACACATGTTTTTTCAAAACACTTCGCTGGACCAACTGTGGAGCATCCAGATCCAGTCCTAGCTACGTTTAGCTGGGACTGGATCTGGACCGCTGTATCAGGTCCGTCTGAGCTCTTCTGAATGTAGTTCGCACAAACTTTCTCTTAATACCATTTACCCCATCAATCCATATTAGTATTGTTTGTCCTAATCCATAATGTATACAATTTTCACACCTGAAGAAAGAGGAGAGGGATTTTTATCAACTTCGTGACTTTCGGAAAATAAGTACAGACGAAGCGCGTTGGGGTCCGCTTATTACACTGCTTTGTACCAACTGAACACACAAAATTAACTTCAATCACTTTTATTAATGCCGAAAGGTTAATTTAATGACTGCAAAGAAAGTAGTGCAAAGGTTTTCCCGTGGCAGGCGAGTAACAGTGAGGCTGGTTAACCTACTTCAAAAAAGCGATCGCTTTAGTCGCATTAAAACAGTATTTTTGTCATGAAAACCTTAACAGATAATTCTGAAAACCTCCGTGCACGTGTGTTACGAATGTATGTATAATATAATCTCCCATTAACATTTAAATGTGTCGATTGATTGTCATTTGCGTGTATTGAGTGTGGCTAGCTCTGATAGTTTCTCAGAGACAGTAGTGGCGTAGCCCGTTGTGACCCATGGATCTATTATAATATCGGCTGACAGTAGCTAACTAATGATCAAACTAATTACAAAGTGGACAGTGCAAAAAACAACTTGATAAATGGAAGTTAATCACAGCAAAATAAACAAAGAAGGTCCTAGCATTGCAAATTAAATGACAGGATAATGTTAGCATAATCCTCACCATTACCTTTTTATCAATTCAAACTTTCTACCAGTTACTGGAAGACCAAGACATTCAAGCCAACGTTTTAATTGGTCTACACTATGATCCCTGATGGTTTGATGGTGGAATTTTGCTCCTGGTACATCATTTTCATCTAAAGTGACAAGTGGTATTTGATTCATTTCGGCAGTGTTTGTCCGGAACATGTGGGCGGGAGTTGACAGGTGGCGGCGGGGGTGTGTCTTAGTGACGTCATTCAGATAGTTCGCTATTGACATATTTATGACATTGATATATTTACTTTAAATGATACTATTATGTTCTATTTTCAACATTAAATGCAATTTCACCTAATCAATATAAAATATATGTAATAATGCAGGATGAGATTATTGGATTTTTTCAGAAGGACAGTGATGATCCGGGACATTTAAGGACATCCATTAACATTGATAAACATTTATGGACATGGATCTTCCTCTAGTCGTCCTTTGGACCAATGGCTCCTTTATGTGTGTTAATTGAATTGAAGTGAATAGCTGTATTTGACGTTGACAAGCAACAGTAAAAGCAAATAGTTCCCCATTCACTCTTACGCCCCCTTCTGGCGTTATACTATCTATTGGGACACACTAAACATGCGCGATGGACTACATGTACATGCCATACTCTGCGTGCCTGCTTCAGCTGGCCCCTGACCTGAGATCTTGGTGGTGAACTGTGTGATGACCGGGGGCCCGTAGCCTTTGGCTGTGCTGGCGCGCAGAGTGAAGGAGTAGGTGCAGCCGGGGTCTAGGCCGGTGAACGTGTGGGCGCTCTCGTTGACCTGCTTCACCACTTTGCCGCTCTGGTTGGAGAGGTCCAGCTCCGGGTCAAACGAGCTCACCGCCTTGTAAGAGATCTGCAGGGAGAGAGGACACCGAGCAGTGTGCATGAATAAAAGAAATGTGGAAATGAGTGCTGTGTATGGAGTATGGAAATTACTGTTTGTCACAACGTGTATTTATCTGGAAATGGGGAATATGGAGAGTTCAAAATGCCTATCATTTATTTCTATATTGCACATTTTAAAGGAGGCGAGTCTTTTTTTGAGCTTTTAACCATGCATGTCTTTCTTGCAGTGTTGATGTATGATTTGCCCTCATGATTCTTGATCTCCTCGTTTTCAGACAGAAAAAAATAAAAGAGGACCGCCCTCACAATCAGCTCTTAGCCCAAAGCATTACACAGTAACTGACAAGGATCTGTTGTACAACTATACAAAACATAATATGTTTTCTAATGAGATGAATGGGGTCTGTTTTGTTCAGATTTGTTATACAAGTCTCTTTCTATTGGGACAAACGCAATGTATCATTTATGGCGAAATATAACGTTAGATACACCAGCTTTAGAGAAGATATATTCTTTTGACCAAGTGTGATTTTCATAATTTTTTAGGGTTGTTGTATTTGTGTTTGTTAGATTCTATGTGCACATGCAATAGAATATACCTTTTTGACCATTTTAGGCTACTTAACAAAACAAGAAAACAAAAGAAACATTACAATCACACAAGGCATTCCAACCATAAATAATCACAGTATATTAAAAAAGTGAAGATACAATCCTTCAGAAAATGCACAGCTAAACCAGCTAAACACAACTGTTAACCTAGATTTGAACATTGTCAGGGTTTTAGTTGCATAAATCTCAAACGTAGTCCCGGCAGGAGGCCAGTCCCCGAGCTCCTCATAGTCAGAGTTGGTCCATATGGCACATGTCACAGATCTGTGACAAGGCTAAAAGATTTTAGGGAGACATTTATAATTTCATATAACTACCACATATGCTTTATATATTTGTATTTGCTATTCATACAATGCATGATTAAATTACTCTAATTATACCGGGGCCTGGTTAGTACTGTGATGGAAGGATGGGCTGATGTTAGTCTGCTCCAGGGCAGCTGTGGCTACAGTAATTTTTCACTACTGCGTATGGAGAGAATGAATTATGACACATGAAGAAAAATTTTAAAAATTACACAAAAAACTGCTATAGAAAATTGAAGACCTTGTATTTCACCCATCCATCCATCCATCCATTTTCTTCCCCTTAATCCATTTCTGGGTCGGGGGGGTGGCAGTCAGAGCTGCACTCAGTACACTCAGCACCAGCCCCTCACTGATCCTCCTGCAGGTGGTGAGTCCACAGGAGCTGAGATCTTTCAGTGGGGGCTTCAGGCAAAGTGGGGTTAAGTGTCTTGCCCAAGGACACAACGACAGCAGTCATCAGCGGGAGTCGTGAAGTAGGTCTTACGGTGGGCTCGAACCCACAACCTTCAGGCCCAAAGGCCAATGCTCTACCAACTGAGCTACTGTCGCCCCTAATTGTTTTCACCATTATTTGAAATAGCAGGTTAAATGTGTTACTACGTCCAGGGTTTTCAGGGTAATAATTTCAGCTATAATACACACATACATACATAAACAACACAGGGAGGAGAACATTAAGGTGAGCCAATAACTATAAAAAGCCCCTTCAACAAAATCGCCTCTCGAAAGGAACCTCTAGGCTCTATTATAAATTCAATTAAAGCTCACAAAGGAGCATTTGGCGGGCGCATAATTTGTGTCCATCAACTTAGGAAAAGCCTAGCCGACTTCTCATTCTCAGTTGGTGAAAAAGGTAGTGGCATCACATCTTTCGTTCAGTAATGTAAAGAGTGAAAACCGCCTGTCAACACTGGGCAGATTTTTTAAAAAAAGGGACTGACAGAAAGGTAATGGAGATCATTGAAGCTCATTATGTTGAAACTGCTTGTAATTGTTACTATTCAGCCACACCAGGAAAATAATTCTACTTTGTTTTCAAACCATAGCACACACAGACCTTTCTTGTCTTAATAGATATTGTCAGCACTCTGCAATTGGGCTTGTGTGACTTTAAAGCTGAGGTACCCAACTTTCACAAAACTGGTTTCTGGTTTTCTTCCTCTCAAAATCTTTAGGTCAGATTTTAGAGACAGAAAAAGGAAAAAATAGAGGCCCACTCGCATTCAATCAGCTCTCAGCCCAAGAGTCAAATAGTCAAGCCTCATGTTTTGTTTGGCTTTTTTCACATATTACAATTTTTTTCTTTCATGAAACAAAACGTTACATATCCAAAATAGAAGTATATGTTCAAAATAATACGATGTGCTTTAATGTGAATTCAAAACACTTATCAGAACTGCAGATATAAGACGATTTATGCCTGTGGGCGGCACAGTGGCTGAGTGGATAGCACTCTCGCCTCTCAGCAAGAAGGTCCTGGGTTCGAATCCCGGTCGGACCAGGGCCTTTCTGAGTGGAGTTTGCATGTTCTCCCCGTGTCTGCGTAGGTTTCCTCCGGGTACTCCGGTTTCCCCTACCGCTAAAAATATGTAAAATAGTTCTGGCATGTGCCTCCTGTACTGGCCCCTCCCATCTCTGTGTGGAGTGAGAGACAAGTGCCCAAAAAAAAAAAAAAATAAAACAAATAACAATTGTAAACCGCTTTGAGACTCAGATCTGCAGTGAAAAGGCGGTATATAAATAATTACTTACTTACTTACTTACTTACTTACTTACTGTGATACCACTCCAATAACATTATTACTTTTACCTCTCCTTCACCTTTTGTGCTTCTTGGTTTTATTGCTATATTTTTCCATTTTGGAGCATTAGATAAAACAGACATTTGGACTGACGCCGTCTCGAGTCTGGCAGAAGGCGTTGAAATCTGGCCAATAAAACTGCATTAGAGGAGCTGGTCAAAAACAGGCAGTGGGATAACTGTGATATGAGACCGGGGCTTCTTTTGATAATGTCAAATCAAAGCTCTGTCCTCCCCACGGCACAAAGGGAAAAAAACCTGGATGTGCTCTGGATTGACATCTTAAAGGAACAGTTACAATTGACAAAACAGTGGCTGTATATGCTGTGTGCACTGTAGGGGATGTCAAAGCAAGTGAGTATACTTTAGTTATATAGCGCATTTCACAGACACACAAAGTGTTTACAATTTTGGGTGTACCGGTAACACACAGTGATGACAGAAGCGAAATGCCATCCGTTCACTCAGGCATCATGGTGGCACAGCGAGAGGGTCTTCGGTATGATTCCACCCCCTTTCTGTGTGAAGTTTGCATGTTCTGCCTGTGCCTGGGCTTGAATCCGCATATGCATTTGTCCAAAGAGATCTGTGGAATCAAGTTTTGTGGCTCTGGGCCTTAATATACTTTTTTGACGTTTTGAATGATTTGTTAAATGAGACACACTGTGAAATGGCAAAATGTTTAGAAGTATTTGGCCAGACCACAGAGAACTTAAGGTAATTATTTGTACTAAGGGGCACACTGTGGCAACTGCACTGTCAACACACATAAGGGCCCTGTCTGGAGGACAGTTCATCACAATTCAAGGTATTTTTAGCTAAAGCAGGTAGCACACACACACAGAATCTACCCCTCTTTAACTCTTGGCACATTTGTTATTGTGTTACTTTTTGTTTTTTCTTGACAACTGAGGGGTTAAATAAAGATTAATGCTTGAATATGATGCAATATTACAAATGATATAATATATATGACATATAGTTAGTAAAATGTCCATGTACTGTATACAGGAGGCTATAGCTGTTGTCCTCGGATAGAATCTATTTCGCTGTAGAATCACTACATTTGGGCTTTTAGTGAATGTCAGTTTTGTAGATGGAGAAACCTTTTTCAAATGCAAGTACCACTTTTTATTTTTGTTTCTTTTTAATCTGTCCTCATGTAAAGAGTCTGAGTGGCCAAAAATTGTTTTAATATTTTACTCTTCTTCACATCAAATCTTACTGGCCGTGCTTATTCCAAGCAAAGAGACCGTTTGAAATGAAAAATATGTATTACCATTATAAAACAAACTACAATACAGACATATCCCACTAAGCAAGCCGACGTTGAATCAACGTAATTTGAACGTCGTTGTCCGACGTAGAATATAGGTCACTGGTGGGTGCAGAATGAAAGTTTTCTCGACGTCGTTTCTCGACGTCACCTCAACCTCCAAATGTTACGTTGATGGCACGTCAATTCATGGTTTGAATGTGGTACGGAACCGGTCGGGTCTGACGTCCTATCAACGTCTTATATGACCAAAATATTGACGTTTATATGACGTTCGTTTTCAGTTGTTCCCACTAAGCAAGCAGATGTCAAAACAACGTAATTTCAACGTCATCTGGACGTTCATTCAAGGTTGCAATGTGGTACAGAACCGGTCGGGTCCGACGTCCTATCAACGTCTTATATGACCAAAATATTGCCTTCATATGACGTTCGTTTTCCGTTGTTCCAACTAAGCAAGCAGATGTCAAAACTATGTCATTTCAACGTCATCTGGACGTTCATTCAAGGTTGCAATGTGGTACAGAACCGGTCGGGTCCGACGTCCTCTCGACGTCTTATATGACCAAAATATTGACGTTTATATGACGTCCATTTACAGTCCTATTGACCTACTTAACCTCTGCAGAATCACTCACTGGTCGAGACATACTTTTTGCAATGGCAAGGCAAGTTTATTTGTATAGCACAGTCAAAACAAAAGGAAACTCAAAGCACTGAACAAAAGATAGAAACAATCAAACAAGGCATTACAATTATAAATATTGACAGTAAATTAAAAAGATACAAATAAAATCTCTCATAAAATTTCTCAGTTGAAGCAGAAACAGAAGTGTTTTAAACCTGGATTTTAACATTGTCAAAGAAGAAGCCTGTCTCACATTTCCAGGAAGACCGTTCCAGATTTTAGCCTTGTGAATCTGAAATGCAGCTATATCATGTTTAGTTCTGACTAAACATGATCAAAGTACAAGTTAAACCACTGCATCAAAGTACAAGTTAAACCA